TTTGACCCTTTGGATGGAATAGAAAGCAGCTGTACCAAGAAAAAATGTTACAAAAGAGCACATTAAAATGCTTAAGCATTTAGTTGAAAGAAATCAATCTACATTTCCACTTCTCTTAATTGTCGTTAAGTTAAACAGAGGAGAATTCGACAACATGACTGCATTCAAGTCCTTTTCTGATAAAAACGAAGTAAAAGACTTATAAACTCTCAAATAAAAAATATTATCGAATTATGCGTACAAGAAAACAATCTTTGCACGCAAGAAGCAATAAAAGTAAATATTTCTGCAGCAGGCATCAACATGTCTCAGCCAACCCAAAAATGTGTCCCGTTGGGAACACCAAACCAGACAATACCTTTATGTTGTCGCACTTCATTCAAAAACTCATCATTGACTTGGGCTGTTAGGTTATCGCAGAACAAAACATACTCATCCAGGTTAGCGACAGCATTGGAGAGAGTGTTCTTCACCCATTTCACGGAAAACGCTGTATCTGCCCATGCATTTTGTTGCCAGTACATATCTACATCAGTGTCATAGGCTAAAACTTCATCTTGACTAATCCTTTTCCCCTTACCTCTGAAAATCAACGCCGGCTTCACCATTCCTTCAGGACTGAAACATATTTGCAGGGTAGCTTGTCGCTTACCAAGCCCACTGCCAGGTTGAGCTACCCATACTCTATGGTCCCTTCGTTCCTTTCCTCACTCATTGGAATTTCGTATGTTCGTTTGCTCTCGACTACAAACGGGAGTGGAAATTGATCTACATTGATTCTCTTTTTCGGTGAAAAACGCCCCCAATTTTTTATCGTATGTGGGTTTGCCACTTTCAGACTTAAACAACTTTTCTCTCAAATTTGAATGTCATTTCATCAGAATCGAGGTTTGCTTCTTTACGTCAGCTAGGCGCTTACGTCTAACACACAGCATGCGGATCTTATTTTTAATTAAGAAATGAGTGACTATTAATTTTGGCAATCTGTCAGCATTCGGGCATTGTTGTAGATGAATTTGATTCGCTCGGACATACAACCATTCAAAGTTAACTTTTAGCCTCTTTTTTCTTGCTTCGGAGAATTTGTCATAAAGTTTGTTAAACAAAGCTTTGTGTTTGTCGCCTCTTTGGCATTTCCTGAATAACTTATGTGATAACTTATTTTTACACCAAAACTCGTGCATCGAAAGGGCTTGTGATGTTTTCAGAGATTTTTTGCAAACAATACATTCAAACAAATTATCTTCTTTTTCCTTCGGCACTACATTTACCAACTCACCACGATGACAAATCTTTTTGGTAAAACCAAAGTTGAACAAATTTGTCTGCTTTCTCTTACTCGTGATTTTAACAGCGTTGTCAACAACATACAGAACAACAACACTACAGTGATTACTTTCTTTTGAAATTGTTTATCTAAAAGAAGTCATTACATTGCAAATAAAAAAATTGCAATTTATGAGTTGCTTATGTTAACATTTGTTCAGAACTGAAGTTGCTTAATATTTTTTTCACATCGAGTTCAGTTGCTTATAAACGAGTTGCTTATACAAAAAAAATCGTGTACTTGCTTATGAAAAAAAAACTGGAGGCTGATTCATTTTGTACTTTTATAACTACAATGATGACACCAGCGATTAGGAACGCAAATGTGGAAGCGCCGGTGCTTGTTATGGACAATTGTAAATTCCACTGGAGTCTTTCTGTTAGGCAAACACTAGCCTCTAATGGTATAGCTATTAAGTATCTGCCAGCATACACGCCACAGCCTAATCCAATAGAAGATTTTTTTCTTCTTTTAAACATACTTACAAACAGGAAGAAAGGCCTCGAAATACGGATGGGGTAATCAGGTAACTTAAAAATATTATGGATACTACAGAGTTTAATTTAATTCCATTTTACAACCATATGCGTAGTTACATAAATCCAACGCTGGCTCAGTAACCATTTCTTAAATAAATAACAATTAAAACAACCTAGTTTATATTTTAAAAATATATTTATATAAAAATTTCAAAAGCGTATTTATTGTTTATATTAAATTATATTAGATATTTTATGAGTGGTTGACCCGCATTTAAACGCGCATATAAGAATGAGTAAACGCGCATATAAGAATGAATAAATGCGCATATAAGAATGAATAAACACGCATATAAAAATGAATAGACGCGCATATAAGAATGAATAACCCTGTAACTTTTATTTTAAACTTTTAACGAGCAATATCTTTATTTTCAATATTCCACTAACAAGCTTGTGATTGTAAACTACTATCACAGTTTCTAAATAAGCTTTTTTAACAATGAAGTTGGAGGAGTATTATTTCTACGATTTATAACTGTACCAAAAATTGATGCTGTAAGTTTTTTATTTTTTTCTTCAATCCATTTTTGTTTTTGTATTGATCTTTAGTTTCTGATGTAATTATTTTCTTAAAATTGATTAACATTATGGCAAGCTTTAATTTTCCTCAGTCAAATTAGTTTTAATTAAATGGTCCAGACAGTGAAGAAATTTTTCCATTATAACTAGGCTTAAACTTTTCAATATTGTTTTTATTTATTCGTTAGTAAATATTTCACAAAATGATTTTGGTTAAAATAATTTCAATAATTAACACGGCGATTGTCATTCCTTGGTTTAATTCTATATAATAAAATATTTGGTTTAACTCTAATTTATTTTACATAGTTCTCTTTGAATAACTGATAACCACTTATTTTATATTTACAAGCTCTTCTTTCAAAATATCGTTTTATACTTTATAAGTAAATATATGTTGATGTGTTATCGGAAACAGAGATGTAGTCTTTTGACCATTAAATTACATCTTTAGAGATTATTTTGTTTTCGTTGCTGTTGAATTCCTTGTTTGTAATTACACAAAATGTTGCATTTAGTGGAAAGCTAAGGGCTTTTTAAAAAGCTATATCTAGCAGGAATATTTATAGAGTTAATTAGATATTCTTTTAGATATGTATACTTGTTAAATATACTTCTAACAAGCTTCTCTAACAAAATTTAACTTCAACTGCGTTAAAATATGCAGTTATTCTCATGCGGAGATAATAAGATTTATGAAAGATTTTGGCGTAAATGTAATTAATTATAAGGTAAAAAACTATTACCTATGTACGAACAAGTCACGAAATAATGAAAAATTTAAAAAATCTATGAATCGCGAGTTTTTGATTTTTCTGTGCATACAAATACCATAATGCATTGCTTTATGGGGAAAAGTCCATTAAAAAGTGTGTTTGTTTGCCTATACTTATTTTTTGTAACGCATTACTATACAATTTTTATGCGGTTGCGGAAGTTTGCTAACATTGTCCGCTATATTAAAATATAACGTTGTTTAAGTATAACTATAAATTTGCATTCGTTAAGTATAACTCTGATTTACAAATTTTATCGAAAGTTTATTTAGAACAGCAATTCTCTAATATATTCATTACAAAACCGCTCAAACATTTTTTTATTTATTTTTTTATAACAAAATTAAAACAATTTCAGTTTTTTATAAATTTTATAATATATATTGTATACTTATATATAGGCAGGGCCGTACCGAACGACGAAGACTTGGGGGTAGGAGGGGGTGCAAGGGAAAAAAGCTAACTTTACAGACAAGGTTTTTTTTTGTTTGTTTTAGAAGCCAAATATCAATTCTAACCGACAGAGATCCAAATCTTCCAATTTTCTGACAAAAACCGACAGAGTTTTGTAAATCTGGGAGGAGGGGTGTCCACCCACACACACCCTCATCGGTACGGCCCTGTATACAAGTAATATAGTTTTACACAATATTCTTTTAACAATATGCCGTTATATAATCTAAATCACACATAAAATCACATTAAAAAAAAACATAGTTTAGTAATGATAACAAGTTGTATATTACAATTAGTAAAAGTCCTAACACACCTAGGTTTTTGTTTTTTATTTTATATATTTACACTTTTTCTTTCATATATATATATTTTTATCGCTCAAACATACTTACAACAGTTATGAATTGAAAATTACTAAAACGGAAAGCCACATGATATCATGGAACATTCAAGTGTTTACAATGCATTGCGATAGAATTATTACAATTGGTTAAAATTTAAAATTCAAAATTCAAAATGACTGTGAGTTTTATATGTATGGCCTATATATAGCCACATCAAACTACTCGTGAACTTCTTCATTCTCTAAAAAATTACATTTTGATATATGCTTTCATTTATTAGTGATTAAACATTACAACAAGCAAAAAGAAATATGGCAAAAATGTATATGTAAACAAGTACGATGAAAGATTACTTAGTTGAAATTCAAAATCAAAATGATTTACATACTGCACATATTTCTTTAAGTGCTAAAGATAATGTTTTTACTGCTTCAAGTAATTTTTTTCCGAATCTAATTTAAACTTTTTACAGGACACGAATAAAACAATTAATTTCTAGTGTGGCTTGCGGTAAAATACGCATTTTTTTTAACAACTGTTTTATCATAATTTTCTTAGGATTTAATATGCTTATTTAGGTTTTATATTATGACGAGAAATAGGCAAAAACCTTTTTAATTTTTTTTAATTTTTTTAAAAGCAAGAAATTGCTTATCAGAGTACAAAGCGCGTAATCTGCGTTAAATCGTTAAATTTGCAAGAATCCAAAATGCTGCTAGAACGTGCTAAAAAGAATATAAATGAAGTTATTTTTAATTCTAAATCTACTGCGTTTTGCTCATCGCAGTGTGATGGCGATAAGTCCTCATCGATACTAACAATCTTAAAAGATGATGAGGCAATCTGAGCCTGATGGCTGAAATAAGTCTGAACCTGATGACTTTAAATACAACCTCAGACCGTCGACTTCATTCTCTTTGCAAATGCTAAGAAAACATACAAATACCTCCATGATAAGCCAAAGATTTGGGGTATTGCATCAAGCCACAGCTGTCATAGCTTCTACCCAGCAAACATGCTTTCAGCGGACCGTGATGCGCAAAGCCGCCGCCGGTAAGCCAGTGCTGACCCTTTGTTATGCCTAATGCGGCTTGCCGCTGCCGGGTAGCTGATGCAGGACCGGCATCCTATTTTATGTTGGCTTTCCGCCATCGGCCGAAGAGCGATAAAACACTTCGTCGCCAATGCAATTTTAAATGGGCATGCCAGCTTCGGTAAGTTCATCACGATACGCTGTAGCTTTGCCCACACAATGCCAAAGTGGGCTTTTGGATGGCGGTAAGCTGTCGTAAAAAACATCAAAAGCAAGCGTTTCATGCGCCATGAGACTTTGATTGGTCGATATCGATATATAGTGATTTATGGTTTTATTTTATTAGTGTTTATTAAATACTAAGAGGTAACTCTAAAATTAAGAGAGTAACATTATTAAAAAATAATTTTAGCCTAAAATTATTTTTTAATAATGTTACTTTATTAAATAACTTTAAAAATGTTACTTTATTAAATTAAATGTTACTTTATTAAATAACTTTAAAATGAAGAGAAACTTTATTAAATAATAATTTTAGGCAAGTAAATAAAGTTTATTTACATGCCCAAAATTTAGGCATGTAAATAAACTTTATTTACTTGCCTAAATTTTTATTTAATAAAGTTTCTCTTCATTTTCAAGTTAACTCTTACTAAGCTTAGTAAGAGGTAACTCTTCATTTTAGAGTTAACTCTTACTAAGCTTAGTAAGAGTTAACTCTAAAATGAAAAGAAACTTTATTAAATAATAATTTTAGGCATGTAAATAAAGTTTATTTAGCATATAATTTACATGCCTAAAATTATAACATGTGCTTTACTGTTTAAGTTTAACTGTTTACTTATAAACTTATAGCTTTACTGTATATTCCAAGACTAAGAGTCTTAGTCTTAGAATATACAGTAAAGCTATAACTTTCATATCTATTTGAAATGAAATACAAAAAGTATATATATTTTTTACTTAAGTTTATTAAATATATATAGACTCGAGTAAAAACATATATACTTTGTATATTTCATATCAAATAGATAGTGAAAGTTACAAAATAATATAAAGTTATAGAATAACATTAAATGGAAAGTTATTAAACATTAAATGAAAAGTTGTGGAATATATATACTCATATAGTTTATACGTCTTTACATAATATAAAGATATCTTTATTATGTTATGTTACATATTATAAGTCTTCGTAATATATTATATTATAAATACTCGTATATCTAGATATACGAGTATTTATAATATAATATATTACGAAGACTCATAATAAGAGTATATGAGTCATATAAAACTCTCTATGTTATTTTATATTCAATTTCATGTATAACTTGAAATTAAATGTGAACTATAGACTTTATATAGTATATACTATATAAAGTCTATAATTCACATTTTATTTCAAATATATATTTCAAGTTATATACGAAATTAATTACTTTATGTAATTTTTAAGTTATATATGAAATTAGGTACCATATTATAGGCTATGTATGAATGGTATCGTATGTTATATATGAATTTACGTATCAAATAAAGTTGTTTTATATTATTATTATACAACAACTTGTATATGATACATAAATTCATATATAACATCATGTCATATGATATATCATATGACGTACGATATGTTGTATATGAATTTACGTATCATATATAAAATTATATTATATAATAACTTGATATATTGAGTTATATATTGACTTATATATATTATATACTTAATATTATATAATATATGATACATAAATTCATATACAAATATTGATATGTTGTAATATTAATACAACTTGAAATACATATATTTGATTTAAAAAATAAATTATAGACTTTATATAGATCTATATTGACTTATATTGATGATTATATACTTTCATATGTCATGATGAGTTATGAAAGTATATATATATATATATATATATTATATATATATATATATATATATATATATATATATATATATATATATATATATATATATATATATATATATATATATATATATAATGGGAAATATCTGTATCTACTACGTATCATTATTGTTAATTATTGCGCTTTACATTGTATAATATATATTATACAATGTAGAGCGCATATTATATAAGGTAGGGTTAAATAATAATAATTAATGAAAATCTGTTTTAGTGAAAAGAATTAGCAAAATTAAGCTTTAAGGTTGCTTATTTTAATTTTTATTTAGTTTAATATTTTTAATTTTTAAGACTTTTTTTTAAGATTGTCTTGAAAATTATTTTGACTTAATGTCACACTTTGATTTACTGATTTACTAATATTTATTTGCAGGTTTAGTTGCTTTTGTCTCCATGTTGTCCAAGGGTTATGTCGGCCATGATCCTAATATTATCATGGGTTTAGCAGAGTTGTTTAACTTGCAAACTGGATTGAAGATTTTGAATAAATTTTTGTGTTCTTAATATGGTCATAAGTTTGTACTTGTTTAAAACCCTAAATCATTTGAAAATTATGGCGCCGGTATGGTAGTTATTCTAATTTTATAGCTTTCATTTTTCTCAAGTTATTTTCATAGTTTTTTATATTGAGCTACACTTTTGTTTGTACAGTGAAAACTATGTTCAATAATAAAACTATAATTTTATTTAGACATGGTAGATGTCCTAGAAAAAACTGGTAGTAACTCAATGTAGATACACATAGTCGATGGAGTTACTTGCTAATAACTGGCAATGAGACATATTTGCTTCAAATGATGCCTTTAAAGTTTGAAAAGGTTAGTTTATTATGCTCGTCTTAAATGGATAGTTTTTATATTTTAATTATAAATCAGTGTCTGCTTTAATATAGTTATCATAAAAACTAGGCATCTGAAAACATTCCTGCAATTTAATATCATGATAGTGACTTACTCTTGTCTTTTTCATGTTTAGATTTTTTTAAATTCAAATGTCGACTTTTTGTTACATGAAAAAAGATACTTATTTCAACCCCTCGACTATATTGGTAAGTAGAGCATTAGTCAGAAGTTGTATTTAAGCTTACTGTTTATTAAGTTTTACTTTTTTCAAGAAAAGCACATAATATGACTTTATTTTTATATAGCTTTTTAAAAGTAGTTACATAACTTTTCAAATTAAACAATGTTTTTGCTGTTTTTATCTGTTAAATTATGTTTTAATATTAAAATGAATTTTACATTTATTCAATGCAGATGCACTTAGTATGTGGAGTTACTTGTCAATAGCTGGCGATGAAACTTTTAAACGTAACGTCTTTAAGGGCTGAGAAAGTTAGTTTGTTTCGTTATAATAGCTCTAAACTGAAATGTTTCAATATTTTGATTGGATACTGTTGTCTGCTTTTAGGTAAAAATTAGAAATCTGCAGACTGCAACGTAAATCGATTTCAACACGTTATGGCTTCTCGGATATATTTAGTTTCCGATTGAAATGAGAATAAACTGAACTTATATATAAAGTGTTTACAATTAACTTTTTAAACTAGAAATACTCCAAAGGAGGTTCTCCAAACGCAAGTTAAGCAAAGTCGATAGATGTTAATATCTTTTATATTATGTTTTAGATATTAAAAAAAATTTGTGACTTTAATATTTATGTTATAATTGTAAATTGCAATCTTAAAAGGATTTTATTATTACTTCAGATTGTTCTTTTTGTTCATATATTTGTTCACCGAGCTTAAGCGTTGCAACGTATGACCTAATGATTTACAGTTATGGTAGTGTTTCTTTATGTTATGAGTATTATTTACTAAATTTGTGTTGATTTATTAAGTATTTAATGGCTATATACCTAAGCACAAAGTTAAAAGGTATTTGATGTGCTTTCCAGGCTTAAGCAGGGTTTGCCATTCTTTTTAGCGTAAAAATTGAGCTAAAAATATTTAAAAATTTCCTTTAAGTGCGTTTTGTTCAAATAAAAAAAAAATAATGATGTGCATATTAATGCATTCCAATCTTGACCAAAACATATAAAAGGTCCTATGTTATTCCGCTATCGTTTTTTCATCGGTTTGCCGCTGACGGACCGTTGTTAAAAAGTTTGCGATTTGCCGCCATCGGACCGCTATTGAGCCGCATGCAGATTGCTGCTAACGGACCGATGTAAATACGATGTGCAAGCCTACGCGGCAACGCAGCGGGCGGCCGACGTCGGCACGGCATAAGTGCTGACAGCGGTCCGTTGTCGGTCCGACTGCTCAATGTTTGCTGGGTAGCCATTTGCACAAAGCCACTGAATCGGATACACCTTAAGTGGCTAATAAAAAAAAATTACTAAAGAGAGGTATCGAACCATGTATGAGCCTAAAAGTAAAAATTTGAAAATTAATAATTATGATTTAACGTCTTTAATTCAACAGCCGGTTGCCGGTAAAATTGACAAAATATTGTCAACAGAAAAGGAGGATGATAAATACTACCAAAGAACAATTGTAGAGAAAAACTATTGTTTGTTTAAAGAACCAGGACCTATCTACGCTGGTTATGTTTCACCAGTTTCAGAAGCAAATCTAGCTATTACTAAAAAAATTTACAACCATATTACATTAGAAAGTCCTTGAATTTTAAATCATGTTCTTGTTCGAGGATGTAATTGAATGGTCATAAATACTGGAGTTTTCAATTACATTGCGTAATGCATTGTCTTGAACTGAAGATTGAGAAAGCGGTTCAATGGGCGGTTTTTCAACTAGATTTCAACAAATTGCCACTTATCTACTTGTTTAAGTCTCTCAATGGTCCCAACTCCTGATCTACTGCCTACACTAGTTTCATTTTCGCTGTTAGCGTCTTTCAATCTCTCGAGTATTTCATTTTTATCAAAACGATCTCCTTTGAATGTCGTTAGGTCTACGTTTTTCCGTTTTTTTGTATCAACACGTTGGGTGAGAAACTTTTGTTGCAAAGCTGCGGTAAGTGATTGGCCGGTTACAACTATTTTTTAATTTTTTTTTGGTGTAGATTCAGAAGACGGTGGCTGATATGGTTTAGTTACTGGTGTTGCTGATGTATAGGTTCTGGAAGTTGAGATTAGAGGTGCACCGGATATTTTTGCCAGATATGCCAGATATTGAACTTTTCTAAAGTTCTTTAAGTGTTTATGAAAAAAAAAACAAGCCTTGCAATTATATTAATTAGTGTTCAAATAAATAAAAAAATTTATCACAAAAAGCTATTTGCTTTATTTAAATATTGTATCATTTAATTTAGGAAAAGGTTAACTTATGATTAAAATTATTTGTAAAATGTCTTATTAAATACTTATGTGTAAAAGTGTAAATTATTAATTACTTAAGTGTAAAAGAGTATACATTATTATAACTCATTAAGTATTTTATTTCATTTTTACCATGTTTTAAGCTATACTTCAATTTAGGTGCTCCCAGAAGTCCTTCAGTCTCATCATTTAAAAGCATTTAACTAGAAGTTAACGCCACCTTTCGTTCCAATATTGCTTGTTGGAGTAGACCCAATGTCGAAGCTCGGACCTCTTGGTTTTGAGCCGGAACTCTAACTACTTGGCCACGGTTGTTTAATAAATTTTAAATTAATTTTTTTGAAACCAGCAGGGGACACTAAGTTAGATGCGACACAATTTAAATTATTTAGAAGATCTCCTAAAAGCAAATGTAAAACCTGTATTTCATTTCGCGAAACTTTCTTATGGAACAATATTGTTAAAAAATTTTTCTCATTAGTGGAGTTATTTTTTATTTAAAAGAAAACTTAAAGAAGTAATTTTTTCAATTGATAATATACTTACATACTTTTAAATTTTACTTAGCTCTTAAATACCTAAATATTGATTTATTTTATTCAATATTAATTTAAATTTACTATTTATATACATTTATTTGAATATAATTAAAGGTTACATTGACTACGATATTTGGTTTATTTGTATTTTATTTTATTTACACTATTATACTGAACGACTTTAAATGTAAATACAATTGCTGCGCTAGTTTTTGATCTTAATTTAAACTTGTATTATTAACCATGTATATATATTTCTTATTTTGTATATGTACTACAAACTTTCTAAATAGTAAAAAAAAAAATGTATGTATGTATGTATGTACGTATGTATGTATGTATGTATGTATGTATGTATGTATGTATGTATGTATGTATGTATGTATGTATGTATGTATGTATGTATGTATGTATGTATGTATGTATGTATGTATGTATGTATGTATGTATGTATGTATGTATGTATGTATGTATGTATGTATGTATGTATGTATTTGGATATGTGTACGTGTATATGTGTGTATGTGTATATGTGTGTGCGTTTGTATGTGTATGTGCATATTTATAAACCTTTATACCAGAAGAGTAGCATTGTACAGATGTATCACGGAAGAGTTAACATTGACGTAGAAAGATGACATTACATTATAAGTATTTAATCAATATTTATCAATTCACTAAAGATCAATACTATAAAACAAAAAAAGTAACATCCTAATTGTTTATACTTTATTGTTGACCTTGTACATATACTTAAAGAAAAAAAAAACATGCAACTCATGGAGAAATATTCGTAGATATAGACAATGAAGTAGAAAAACTCAACTAAAATATTAAATAACAATCATTGAATGAAGATTACTTGACCATTTACTTTGACTTTGAGAAAGTGAAATTTATCTTAAAATCTATGACAAAAAGCACATGAGACAGTCGTTTGGAAGGCTATATAATTTCGTTGCAAGCACCTTAAGGACCTCTAAAAAGATCTGAAGGTCTTCTTAGAGTGTTCGCGTTCTTTATATTTATCCTTAATTTTTTCAAGCGTAACTTTTCTATTTTATATTGGCATCTTAAACGTTTGTATTTTAAATCATGTAATAAATAAAAAAAAATAAAAAAAAAAAGTTTTTTTTATCTTTTAGTTGTTTGGGGTGCCATACATAAATATTAAATGGCACCCCAAACAGTTAGCTATGCAGTTAACTCAGTCTTGCTAATTAACCTAAAAACATAACAAAGAGCTTCTTTTGTGAGACACCATTTATGCGTAACACGGTACTGTTAATACCCTCATATTTTACAGCTGTTGATGGAGTTAGCCTCTATAAGAGCTGCAACAGAGTTCGAAAAATCATATTACTACCCAGCCTCAGAACTTTTGTACTAAGTTTTAGATTTATAATTTTTGATTAATACAAAAGATTACAGGAGATTTTCTTTTAAAGTTAACAGAAATTATATATATATATATATATATATATATATATATATATATATATATATATATATATATATATATATATATATATATATATATATTAGGGTGCTGCTCAAAAAACTTTTATCAAGTAAATTGATGGAACAACCTCTATTTTTGTTCCGTTTAGCATAACAAACTTATGTGGAAAATTTGAGAAGGATATTTTATCATTAAGGGGTGCCACACGGGGTTGAAAGTTTCACTAAGGTTGACGCTAATGGCTGTAAGCACTTTAAAAAAATTTTTTTATATAAACTATTTTAATTCAAAAATTTTTAAATAACAAAGTATTGAACATTGAAAACCATAAAAAATTAACTATAATTTCAATATCATTTTAGTTTTTCATTTTGTTTTGAACGGAAAAATGACTATTTAGTCCTGTTTAACAACAGTGGATTTCTTGGCATCTGGAAACTGTTTTCGATGCTCAGACACAACCTGGAGAAGTGTTTGCTTTTGTCCTTCATCTTTTGTTAGAATTTAAGAGCAACTCCTCTCTCTGCTCTGTCATTCACAACGCTCAAACCGGCTACAAAATGCTTAGCTGCAATAAAAACTTGGTCCTTGTTCCACAAAGATGAATCCAATTCGAGCCAAGAAGTTGAGATGCCCAGTATAACAAAAAACCTCATGGTGTTCGAGTTAATAAAATCAGCAAGCTCTGATGATAAAATGTTGTTTTCACGTAGTTGAACACGTTTTGCAGGAATTCCATTTCCAGTTTTTGTTTTCATTGCATTTACCAAATCTTATTTTGTAGCTGCATCAACACGATCATCAAAAAAACTAAAGGCAATCAGTTCCTCACTGAGGTACCACATATGACGAGACAATGCCTTTATCGCTGCATTCGCAACATTTAAATTTATTGTCCTGAATTGCGCGAGTCGTTTAAGGCACATGAGATCATTCAGTGGAGCTTGAATGGACAGCGAAGCAGTAAACCATGATAGACAAAACAGACAAAAATATTCAAGAAACGTGATGAATTTATTTCACGCTTCGTCATGCGAAACTGGGATCTGAAGAGAAATATTTTGATTGAATAAATAGCCTTGGCCATCCATCTGGTCTAATGCATAGCCCCAGGAGCCATAAAATGAACCCTGCGAGGAGGAATATGACCCAGGTAGATCAAAGACAGTTCTAAAAGTTCTCTATAATCATCACGAGGCTGGTTCTCTGTCAGCAAGCAGTTCTGAATGAAATCAATAGCTTCTTTCATCATTTCTCTGTTGCTGCTAAAAATTAAAGCTGTTTCAGGATCTGATATACCGTCTTCATATCTGTCACGAACGATTAATGGCCATGCTGTTTGAAACCTTTTAAACATCAAAATGTCTGGTCCAGTAGATGGTCCAGCTAATGAGTTAAACACATCTCCAAGAACAACTTCAAAA